TGGAGCTGGGGCTGTCCACGGCCCCGCGGGGGCTCGGCGGCTCTCGGGGGCACAGTGGGCACAGGGCCGTGGTGCTGGGCACTGGCTGCAGCCGGGGCACTGGGCACAGCTCCTGCCGGGGCTGCGGTGCCAGGCTTTTCCCGGGCAGCTCCCTCCCCCGTTCTCAGGCAGGGCTCTCCGCCCGCCGCGGTGGTGGCTCCGGGATGCTGGGTGGGTGCTGGCCCTGGCGTGGCACGGGCTGCAGCAGGTCGGGCACTCGTGGCACCAGGGGGCTCGTCCAGCCGTGGGGAGGCTTGGGCACCCATGGTGGGAGTCTGGGCAGGACCAGCAGCTGGTGACGTGGCCAGCTGGGTGTTCCTCTGTGGGTCTGGCGTGGTTTGGAGAGCCGTGGGGGGGCTCTGAGCAGTCACAGTGCCAGGCAGTGGCGTGGCTGACTGCAGCTTCCTCCAGGTCGCTGCTGTCCGTGTGGCTGCCGTGGGCCTGTGCTGGGGTGCCTGGGGGCTGTCGGGGGTCCCCAGCGCTGCTGTTTCGGGCCTGGGGACTGCACCGAGGCTCCCAGGGAGAAGCTTTGCTGGGGCAGGGCTTGGAGGCACAGCTGGGGATGTAAGAGCTGGCACAGTGGGGGTGGCTGTGCTCGCTGCAGGGGTGGCTGCACTGCTCTGGGCTGCAGCCACACGCTCTGGGGCAGGTGTTTTAGGAGGCCTCTTCCTCCTCTGACCTCTCCTTCCTCCCACTCTGAGTATTTTACTTTTGGTGATGCTGGTGTTGGTTCGAGGAGTAGTAACAAGTGTAACTGTTGGCTTCAAACCCATCACACCCACTCCACTGGTTGCAGTAGTGGCAGCGTCCTCTGCAGTGACAGACGTGGCTGTGGTAGCAGCTTTTTGCCTTGCACTATGTTTCTTTTCCTCTTCCTTGAGGAATGCTGTGTTTTGATGGGTACCCATGGGGTGCTCCAATGGCATATTCATGGTGGAGGGGGAAGACTGGGGTGTTTCTGGGCTAAATGGATTGATGGAACTGCTCAAGTTGTTGAAGGTTGGTACATAGCTCATATTCACTTGAACACCTGTAGCCACAGCTGTACTTCCTCTGGCAGACCCCGGCCTCCCAAAATTGTATTGGTGCTTTCTCATACTTGGGACACGTCCTGGTCTAACAATTCGTCTCCGACCAGAAATTTTCCTTTGTCTCCCATAGTGCTGCTGCAGCTGGGGTGGATGAGTTGGAACCTCCTGGATAACCTGGATTTGCTGATGAGTAGCAAGAGTCGAGGCCAGTGGCAGATTAGGGGCTCCTCCTTTCTGAGTACTATGAAAATAAATAGGGCCAAATTCAGAGCTTGGTGCATTGACTGTTGCCACAGGGACCCGGTGATCTGTTTTGGTGGAGACATTATCAATAGAGTCAGTAAAAATATGTAACTTGTCTGCTGTGCTTTGGGGAGTTACAGCCTTGCCTGTAGCTTCTGTCGTGGGTGTTGTGGATGCAGATTTTAGATGCTGGTTATTACTTTCCCCAGAATATACTGACTTTTGCCCAGCAGGGAAGAGTGTGGCTGCTCCACTTGGTACAGCTGGCTGTTTTACACCATTTGCTGATATTTGACTCAAAGCAGATCTTTCCCATGGGTCTGTAGGTTTTGGAAGCATTTGCAGCCTTTTGCTGGCAGGTGCCACAGAGTGTGGAAGAGGTGAGGGTAGGGGAGTTAATGGCTCTGTGGGCAGGAGAGAGGAGTCCCAGGCAGGAGGGGGATTCGCAGTCTCCCCGGGCCCTGCAGTGATCGTGAGTTCTGTCCCTCTCCCCCGAGCAGGTGCTGGGGATCTTCCGGCTGCTGGTATCATGAATTCTTCTTCTGGAGATACGAGATCACCAGATGTCTCCTCCTCCTCCTCGGGTACCTCTGAGAGCTTATGGACTTGAATGGGAGCTTCTGTTGCAGCTTCTCCTCGTTTGTCTGTCACTGTTGAGTTCCTCTTTGTTTTCTCCAGCAAGGCCGCCCAGCGCTGTGGATCAGCTCTCCTGCCTGAGGAAACAAACTGTCTCCTGTGTGCCCTGAACCGCCTGCCTGCTCTGTCTGCGTGGGGCCGGTGAGGCGTTTTGCCGTGGCTGTTCCCCTGACGTGCGCTCTGTGCGCCCCGGCCGCTGGCTGCTGAGGCAGCAGATCCCCCGTGAGCTCTCAGGGTGGCCGCAGTGCCTGAGGGGTGTCTCTGCGCCGCAGCAGAGCCCGGCAGTTCATCGCCAGAGCCTTCTTCCCACTCTCCCGGAGCTCCATGCTTTTTCTTCGGAGCAGTTTCCTCCTGCCTCATCAGCACTTGGAAAACCAAAAGGTCAGCCCCGTACCGGTTGGCTGCAACACATCGGAAGTAGCCCGCATCTCGCTCTGTCACCCCTTGTATTCTCAAGGTGCCGTTGGCAAGAATATGTTTGTTCCCAGCAGAGTGACGGAGAATTGTGTGCTCGGGGAGCACCCAGGTAACGGCAGCGTCCGGAGCAGCCGTGGATGTGCAGGGGAGCTGGAGTGTGCTGCCAGGAGCGGCCGACAGCCGGGCCCCATTGAGCCCGCTGTGCTCCACCTGAGGATCCACCACCGTGATTCGGAACGGGAGCGCGTCGGCGTCCTCGTGGTTGGTGCCGATGCAGTGATAGAGCCCCGAGTCAAAGACGTCGGCCGTCCGCAGCGTCAGCACCCCGCTTTTGAGGACTGCGATCCGCCCGTCCTCGCTGATGTGAGGCGCTCGCACTTTGCTGCCGTCCGCCAATATCCACTCCACGGCGGGAGCCGGCTCGCCTGCCGCCTGGCACCCCAGCTCCACGCTGCCCCCGACCAGCACCGTGTGCTCCGTTTGGGTGCTGTTGTCCCTGGCAATGATGGCCCAGGGGTGTCTCGCCTGCTCTTCCCCACCGCTGGGCACAGCGAGCCGGGCCTCGGCGGCGTAGCGGACGCGCAGCGTGCTGAGCGTGCTGGCTGTCCTGTCCAGCTGCAGGGACACCTGGCTCTGCAGCAGCCAGGCTGGCTCAGCTCGCAGCTCAGCCTCTACACTGGTGAAAAGTTCGTCTTTCTCACTGAGGATCTGCTCATATTTGTAGCTACTGAAGGGCTCGTCAGCCATCCGCACAGTTCGCTCCAGTTTCAAAGGAGAGCTGCTGTACAGTGCCAGGACACTCCACAGCTGCTGGATTTGTTCAGCATCGATGCCACACACCAGGAATGCTGAGAACGAGGTTTTCAGCACTCTGCTGGGGCCATTTTTGTCAAATGAGATGGGAGACATTTCTTTAGGTCTCTGGACATTGCAAACCATGTTGCCTCGATTTCCTGCTTGGTCAGTCATATTCAAAGCCACAGATCCTAGCGGGGCTGTCAGGTCCTTGGGAGACACGAAACTGAAATCCCCATCATCTGGCACCGTGAGGTTTCTGGATTTCAGGGAGTCATGGATGACTGGCTTAGTGCAGGTGAAAGATGCAGGAGGGAGATCCACTAAACTTTTCCCATGATGAGTTTTGGGACTAGCACAGACTGGGCATTGCTGGACACCAGAACTTCTCTCCTTTCTGCACTTTATAACATCTGAAGGGAAGAAAACTTCAGTAAGTTTCTGTGATACAAGTTTTAGAATTAAAAATTATATATAGCTACTAACAAGTGGTTCTTTCGAATAAAATAAAACCAAAGCTTGAAGTGACATGTGAATGGCAGCAGCAGAGAAAGTCCTAGAGTCCCTTGAGTTCCTGAATTTTTTTTTTAATGGATCAAGTGCAATGTGGCTCTTGCTCTTGCAAATTCCACAGAAGTTAACTTGTTCCTTGTGGATTCTCCCGGAGACAGAAGCTTTGGACTGGCCAAGGGAAATTCTCCATTCAGGAAAGCTGCACTCGGGAATGGCCACTAGATTAATTTATTCTGGGAAATGCAGTGGTATCAATCTCTTTATCTTGATTGCACACACCTATACAAATCCTATCTTCCGGTCTTCTCTGGGAGAATAAATAGATGAATAAAGGACATTCACCTGTATCAGGAAGAGGAGGATGCTACCACAGGACTAAAGGGCATAAACAAAGCCTTCAGCTCACCTGGTCTCTCCTGTGCCCACCCTGCAAACCCCTGCAGGCTGCAGTCGCAGGACCAGGGGTTTCCATGGAGGTAAATGCTCTCAAGCTCTGACATGTAGGAAAACATTTCTTGTGGAAGTGAAGTCAGCACATTGTCAGATAGAGAGATGTGCTTCAGGAAGGATATTCTGAATATTTGACTGTAGCGCAAGGTGACAAAAGTGTCTGGATGCAGCTGCTGAAGTAAATTTCCATCCAGGTGGACCAACCTCAAGGAAGTGAGCCCATAGAAAACATTGGGATTCACAAATTCAATTTGATTGTGGTCCATATGCAGCCGTACCAAGCTGTTCAGGCCATAAAATACATCCTGCTGAAGCACTCTGACCTTGTTGTAACTCATTTTTAAGACCTGTTCATGAAAAAGTAACAAATGCATAATATTAAGCCATGTTAAATTATAGGACCCCTAATAAATGCTGCTGGAGGTTGCTCTGTGCAGTGAAAGTTCTTCACCAGACCAGGAATGCCAGGTAACTGCAGTTTCTTTAAAGAACTGTTTATATGCATTGTGTTACGTTTCTGCACAGTTTGGCCTTTTTTTATGAAGGTTAGAAAGGGACAGGATTGTACTGAAGGGAAAGGGAAATCTCAATAGAAAAAAAAAAAATCTTCAAAAAGCCCCAAACTGACTAATAAATTAACAATGATAGGTTTTCTTTTTCAGACACAGTAGTTGGAGCTTTGCAATCTTTCTCCTCTGTAGAAAGAGAGTTTTGACTGCAGCTGCCCGCTAAGATACAGCTGAGAGATATCTACCAATGTGTTTGTCATGCTTTTCTCCCCGTACCCGAGTGCCTACCTGGGAAGGAAGGACATTTCCCATGAGGATACTGGATTTTGAACACTGTTGACTTTCACATGAATAAGGTAAGAAACAGGAAACTGAAATGCTACAGGAGGCTGCTCTGTGGCTGCTTAGCAGTATCACTGAGAGTTAAATCATAACAAAAAGTAACACTGGCTCATTTAGCTCTTACCTGTAGTGAACGTAAATCACTGAACACCTTCTCAGGGATCGTGCTGATCTCATTGCTGTGCAGCATCAGCAGCTCCAGTTTCTCCAGGCCAGCAAAGTCAGTGGGGCTGAGTTTTCTCAGGCTGTTGTAGCTGTACAGGATGGCTTTAGTCAGCCCCAACTCACAGCTTTTAAATCCAGCCAACCCAAAACAAAAGAACCACTCTTTGGGAACGGCTGAAGGTAAGCAGCACTTTCCTTTGCCAAGAGGAAAGTAAGTAATTCCTTCATGTTAGCACAAAAGGTGGTCACCTTTCCAGGACAGGAACATTCCCAGTGGATGGGATGAGTGACAGCAAGCATGAAACACATCTGTCTGTGTTCACTTCGCTAGCACTTCAGTGAAAAGCTCCTTGCATGTTTTCTGCAGACACATCTGGATGGTTCAAAGGTTATGTGCATCAAAAGGGACGCACAGATCAGACAAATACTGCTGATGAGTCTCATCATTTGATTTGAGACAGGACACTTGCTGGAAACTGCCTGAAGAGGCCAGACAAGCCTGGGTTTCATCTATTCCCTGCTCCTTTAACCACACAGAGAACGGAGCCACCATGGAGGCTGACATGGCCAGACAAGTGACATTTCCCTGGAACTCAGCAGATGAAAGCATAGACCCTAAAGCTGTGAGACATCCTCAGTGACAGAATCACAGAACAGGCTGAATTGGAAGGGACTCAGAAGGATCATTTAGCGAATAGCTCACAGGGGGATCTAGTCCCAGACCTTGGTGTTACATCACAGCAAGTCTCTGCAGATTTTAATACCCGTGCTCCTTTCCCAGACCAATTTCTGAGCTCTGGACTACCCTTCCCCAGAGAGAAATCTATTTCAGTCTTCTTGCAGGTTCCATGCAAGAGACACAACATATTCAGGTAATATAAAGGGAAGTTAAGTTCAAAACTTTCTGAAGTTCTCGTGTGTCCTATGGCAGATCCCCAAAATTTCTCCTTACTGTGGGTGGTCTCGGGGTCTGCTGGCTGTGGCTGCAGCCGCTGCTGAGCACTGCAGAACATTACAGACTTACCTATTGCTGTGGTCAATTTTTAGCCCTAAATCTGGGAGGCTAATTATTGCCGTGCGAAGTGTTGAAAGGCAAGCTGAGCGCTCGAACGCCGCAGCCGCACGTACCCCAGGTTGATGCGCTGCACGTCCGGCGGGATGCGCGGCGGGACGGCGCTGAAGTAGCGGAAGGTGCAGTGGAGCTCGGCGGAGCCGTGGCAGGCGCAGGGCCGGGGACAGGCGCTGCCGGCCGGGAGGGTGGCCAGGCAGGCGGCCAGGAGGGTCGCCAGCCAGCGGGGCCGCTCCCCGCGCGGGGCCCCCATCCTGCGGGGATCCTACGCTGCCATCCGGGCTCCTGCGGGGGAAGCAGAACACGCGGGCGCTTGCGGCGCCGAGCCGCCCGCGGTTAAGCCATAAGCAAAAAAAGAATTCTTAACTTGAAAGAAAAACCCGCCCACGAGCCAGCCCCCGAACTCTCGGGTTTCCCCTCAGCGACGGATCCGCGGCGTGACCCAAAGCGCTGTCGTTTGACAGCTGCCCGCGGCGCCCCTGCCCGGCGCGGTGTGCGGGAGCTGCCGCTCGCAGGAAGAGCTGGAATCCCGCAGGGAGCGGCGGGGGAGCCGCAGCCGGCGCCCGCCGTGCGTCCTGCGGAGCTGGCCCGGCCGTGCGGAGCGCTCCCGCCTCCGCCGGCGGCTCATCCCCCGGGGCGCCTCCACACGTCAGCTCCTTCCCCGCCAGGAACTGTTCCAAGCAAAATTAACTCGTTTCGCATCCTCGCACAAACCCCGGCACCGGCACCGGCCGCACGTTCCCACCTGGGCGCTCCCCCTGCGGGGCCGGGCAGGCGCCGCCGCCGCCTCCTCCTGCCGGGGCGCGCCGCCGGCCCGCCGGGCTGCCCCAGATCGGCACCGCTCGCTGCGAGCCGGGGACGGAGAAGCGCCGCCGCCGCCCCTCCGGGGCTGCTGCGGGACCGGCACC